GGCAGACATTATCTCTGACTGGCAAATGTTAATCAAAGGGCTCCATTTCTGGTGTGAAATGGCTCATCAGAATCACAAACAAACAAAAGAACTACCACTGGAGGCCAGGCCCTTTGGCCCTCCATTCAGTCTTCTTTTGCCAATGTGAAGTCTAATAACAATAAAAGTGTTACTGGGGTCATCATCAGTTTTGATACTGTTTCTCTGCAAGGAAGTTTAGGCTCTGATATCACAGAAGTCTAAACAAATAAAGGAAGAGCGTAGGGAAGTTCTCCCAGCCAAGAAGTTTCCTGAATTTCAAAATGAGAGAAAAGGACAGAGAAGAATATACAGATAAGTTCATTTGACAGAGCACATATACTAAGAAAAAAAAATGGCACAAAACAGTAAACATTTATTTTTTGAAAAGCCTCTTTTCAACAATTTACACTTTCAAAATGTCTGGCCTACAGGGAAAGAATTCCCAGCAAATAATAATTTACTGAGCAGTTTTGCACCCAAGCACTGGCCTGTACAGTTTTCAACAACAGGCATACACTCTTGCCCAGAAGCAACTTTCAAATCTTTGTAGATAAAACATCAGCCTATAACTTTCAGACTCAGAATAAGGGAGAACCTTTCGTAAGCTGAAGTGATCAGTGACGGTTTATTGGAAGAATGAGAGAAGACTGAGGTGTGAGCTGGGCTGTGAAAGGCAGGTGAGACTGAGAAACGAGAAATGGTGGCTATTTCAGATTTGGTGATGATGCTCAAGGAGGGTGGCAAGAAGGACAGGCAATGAAGTGGCAGCAGGAACCAGATGCAGAGAAATGAGCCTCGTAAATGAATAAGTGGATGAGCTACAACTGGAATCCAGGTCTCTCAACTCTTGTATGCTACTCTGCTCCTACTAACTGGTCTTGTGGTCTCCATGCCCACATCCCTCTGCAAGAAATTCTCCAGTGCATTAAGTTTCTTTCTGAAACACAATCTGATCGGGTCAGTCTCCTGCTTAAATCTCTTCAATGGCTTACTAAGGCTTTCAGAAAGAAGCTGAACCTTTAACATCGCATACAAATACTCATCATGATCTGGACTCTTTTCTAATAGGCCCACCACATGTACACTTTTGTTTCAGCTATTAACAACATCTACCCACAGTTCCTTTATTGTTCATATTACCACGTCTCTCTACCTTTACATATGTTGTTCTTTCAACCTAAAATGCCTTACCCTCCCTTTCTTCAATTAATAGCTTATTCTTCAAGCCTTGGTGCAAATGTCACCTACTATATAAGCCTTTCCTTACCATACTCAAGCATCCAGTTAGATTTAGATGCCTCTCCGTGATGTTTTTCCATCACTCTCCCATGCATATTCCAGTCTTTCCTTATCCAATAGCTCTTTAATCATTAATTTCCCTGTCTCCCTCGCTCCCTCTCCTTATATCACCAACCCTCAAAATAATGCCTAGCACGGAAGAGGTGCTCAGTAAATGTTACATAAATGAAAGCACAAAGCTCAGACTTTATCAATTAAAGTAAAAACATTACTTATCCAATGAAAACAAATAATGAAATTCTCAGGAAGTTATATAATAACCAGAAAATTAACTTCTGTTACTTCACGTTACTAATTTGACTCTACTATCTAAAAACCCAAAGGCTTCAGGAATTATACAGAAACACAAAGTCCAAACACAAAAACACCAAAGAATGTTAAGCTGCTCTACACCATTGTGATTGTGTGTGTGTGTGTGTGTGTGTGTGTGTGTGTGGTTAGTTCTACCTTAACACTAGCCTCTCAAATGGTTACGTCTCTGCCTTAAACATGTGGGATTCACTCATAAAGCTTCTAGAACTCTACTACTCTGACAAAATATATTCCATGGTTGACATCAAATTACTCATTAATCTAAAATTCATGCTGTTTGACGAGATGCGACAATCTGGGCCTAACCAGATAGTTACATAAAATATAAAACTCTACTACTAATGCATTATTCAAAATGTGATGAATCCAAAACAAGGTCGCCTTCATTAAAAAGAGTCAAGATAAAAGGGTCATTATGAGAGTGCATAGATGAAGACGATTGAAGCAAATTGTTAAATTTTGATTTAATTAATCTTAAGCAGAAGTCTTTGAAATCCTGAAATGTATCTCTGAAAAAATTCTCAGGAATACCCATCAAAAGCTCAGGATATGAACAGAAGTATAATTCCTCTTTATAGAAAAGTGCCTTCCTTCTCCAGTTTTCCAGAACAATGAGGAACCAAATGAAAACAACTGAATAAAAGCCTTATACTTTATCCACTGTACCATAGCTATTGAGTTAAGTTTTCTATGTAGTGGAAACTTTCATCTTAGCTAATACCATACTGCCATTGTGTAATTAACTTTTTACCTCCAGGTGTAGTCTCTTCCATATCAATCAATCTCTCATCCGGTCAGTGCTGTTTCCCTTCTCACTTCATCACTGACCTCCCTCTTCCCAGTAACTTCCAGGGGAATCAACTGGGATTTCCCTTTCTCTGACTCCCTCTCTCTCTCTGTTTTTGGTAACCCAATTGTTCTTATTCTTCTATAGGTGACAGATGCCTTTGAAAAAACTGATAAACGCTATGGGGTCCAGAAAAATGCTCATGCCTTCCTACACTCAAATGATTTCATACAAGTTCAGGAGTTTAAGAACTGCTATGCCCCACAATCACCTGTTACACAAATAATTTCTATTACTCTATGGCTGTTTTATAAACCCACACGTGTGCACGCACACACGTGCACACAACTAATGACTATTATACTGATCAATAACATAATACTCAAAATAATAAAATCTAGTCTAGGTAAAGCTTTATCTTACCAGCAATATTTTAAGTTAAGAATCCCAGATGAACTCTTCTCTAAAAGCCCTTAGAAGAAAATGCTGAGCCCTTCAATAAGACAACTCAAAATAGGGAGTAAGGCATTTATAAAAAAAGTTTACTAGGTCTTGTTTGGTCAACTTGCTTGCCTGAAAAAGTGCTGAAATGTCTTCCTAAACCTGCTTTTATTAACTCTGACACATCTGCTTGTAAAATCACATAAGGCTCAAAAGTTGTATTTGAGCAAAAAAGAATTTCCCACTGATAGTAACAAACTCTTAAATTCAAATACTCGTTCTACTATATCAAGCTATGTTCAACACCAAACACAAGTTAGCTAGGAACTGAAAGTGATACCAGCTCATAACTATCTAGTTACCCTGTCAAAGCAAGTAAAACATAAAAGATGAAACAGGACAAATAACCAAAGGAAAGGGAAGATTATAATCAAGGTCTTATTTACTAGCTGACAAGAGATAAGTTCTTTTTGTTGAGAACATACTTCCTAAAAGTGAAAGGTTCTTGCTGGACTTGCCAAACTATTTGTGGAAACTACCAGTTCGCTTTTATTTTTGGTTAAACTTTTAATCAGGGTTTAAACCACAGTTTTGTGTTGGGTCAAAAAAAAAAAAGGAAATATGATCACTCTTTTACCACAAACTGATAAATTTCAAAATCACAACGTCAGGATTTTTAAATACATTAAACTTTGATGATATGCTCGCAAAGCATTTCTAAGTTTCATGATGGTGGGGGGCACCCATTAAACCCAGCATAGACAATTCACAAAGACCTTGTGACTCAGTTTCTTCACTTGTAAATACTGAGGTAACAGGACACATTCTCAGTTTGCCTCTAGTTAGGGTGGAATTGATAAAACTTTAAAGTTGTCATTTTATTCTATGCAAGCAGGTCCCCTCCCACATAATGGAAGGCTGCGTATTTCCGTCAACTAGGCATCAAGCTTTGACCACTGTTTTCCAATATGGACGGTCCGTAATTGAAAGGCAAATAGGAGGCAAGAGCGGGAAAGTGTAACAGGTACACACCAAATGGCCCGATACCTTAAGAAGCGGTTTGAGTTGAAAAACCACCGTCTCCTTCCTAATTATAATCAAGTCGCTGGTTAAAACTGAAAACTAGATAGCAACATGTGGCTTGTGCTTCAGAGCTAGACCAAGCGCGTTCCCAGACAGAAGCAGCATTTGCTGAATGTGTACACGAAGCCGTTTCCCCTCGTGCCACCCGAATTAGAAAACTGACACAAAAAAGAGGAACCCTTTTAACTAATGAGTTTAGGAAACTCCAGTATTTCCCAATCTAATAGCGGGCCCCATAGATTTCATTCCTCTGAACATTAAGTCAGTGGCAGGAAATAGACTGCTGTTACTGGTTCACACACTCTCAGGACGGTGAGACTTGCCGGTCAGTCCATGGCTTCTGAGCATTCTTTATCAACTAAGTGGAAGGACTGAACGCCCCAGCCTATTACCCGACAGTTGGTGGTACCTCGCCCAGCCTCCAGCTCCCACGCTCACCCCACTCTTCCAAGGAACTGTTTCTTGGGAGAGCACATGGAGAGGTTAGGAGGGGGGGAAAAAAAAAAAAGAAACGCACGTAGGCGCCTCTCCCTTTGATTTCTGGTAGAGTAGAAACACCGGGGGCCTACATGGTGTTTTTTGTTTTATAGACATTTTTTTTTCCCAAGTCTGGGGGTAGGATCCCAAGTATTTGGACTGGAAAGAAGAGACATTTCCCTGCCCGGACCCGAAGCGTACAAGAGGCAAAACCCAGCCACTGACAGGGGTGGGAGGGGAATGGAATCGCGCAAAGAAGGTTGGCGCCCACAAGTTAGACAAACAAGACCCTACCCAGAACTCCGGGTCTCCCCAAGTTGGGGTGGGGCCTCTCGCCACCCCGCGCTGCCTCCCGGGCTGACAAGAGTGAGAAGCGGGTTAGGGAGAAAAGCGGGTGCTCTTCCGCCCCCACGCCGTCCCCGCGCCTCGGCGTGGCCGCCCCTTCAGCGGCTCCCCGAGTTGCACAGCGAGGTCGCGGTAACCCTTGGGAGGGGGCCCCGGGTCCATCCGTGTTCAACGGCAGGAGGATCCCGGGGCTCTCGCAGTCCCCAAGGCCGGCGGGGGCTGCGGGAGCACTCACCAATTTGGGCTTGTTTTTCGTTTCCTCTTCGTTGGCGGCCCGGTTCCCCGCATTCCGCTTGTTGCTCCGGCCCCCACCGGGTTCCTCGCTGCCGCCTCCCGCTCCCGGCGCCGCCGCCCCGGGCTGCTCCATCTTTCTCCGGCCCTGTCACCTGTGCCCTGTAACCCCACCTCTCCTCCACTAAGGAAGCCCCTCGGGGCGGTCCCGCTGCCCCGCGCTGATTCGGCAGCGCCTCTTCCTGAGGGGGAGTGTGTCTGCCTAGGGAGCTGCCGATTTCAGGCCCCCGGGACTCCGAGCTCCCAGGCACCCCAGACGCCACACGCCGTTGCCACTACTCGGCGCTGGGACAAGCTTTGCTTGCCCCTGAGAGCAGCTGCAATTATCACGACCGTCGCCACCGCCCTCAGGGCGGTGTTTAGGGTGGAGAAAGTTGGTGCCTATCTCTTTAAGAGGGCCTCAACACACGTGATTCATCAAAGTGCCCGCAGTCAGCCGCCAGGGCGCACAGAGCTGCTTCCTACTCCCCATGCCAAGTCGGCCCAGCTACTGAGCATGCCCGGCGCAGGACCCGAAGCCCAACGAGAGGACTTGAAGCTGTGGTTAAGCACTGATTTCACTTCCTAGGGGCCTAGCGTGAAATGGGAGGGAACTAGTCCAGAGAGAGAGACGGTGCAGCCCATTTTAGAGGTGGCGAAACTGAGGCCCGGGTGGATTCACGTGTGAGTTGCAGTGGCCGGTGTACCTGAGTATCAGCTTCCACTAGTGCAGGCCAGAGCACTTTCCCTGGCAGAGGCCATGCTGGGGGTGTGGCCCTGTTAGGCTCTGTGGGTGGGGTTGACTGGCAAGGCAACTGGCATCCCATAGGAAAATTACCACAGGGAGCGCTGATTAACTGCCTAGACAGACTGTATGGTTCAAAGTGGAAAGACTGGGTGCTTTCTGTTGCCGTGATTGCGTTGTGGCCAAAGAAATACGGTTGTTCCTTTATTCCCACGCTGCTGGGTAATAGACGCAACAGGCACCCACTGCTTAATCCCCAAGCTGGTGTGAGGCTCTTTAAGCAAAGCACTTGTAGAGAGCTAACAATTGGATGGAGTGCTGTTTTCAGCTTCTGGAACTACTTTAAATTGTTGTGGGGAGTGAATAAGATCATGTGTGTCAAAACTTTGTTTAAACTGTAACTCTTTAGACAAATGCAAGGTGTTTTTGTGCATCTGCAGCAGGCACTGCCCGTATTATTAGTCTGTAGTCCTTGAGTTGTCAGGAAGAAGCCTGCACAATATTTCTTCCATCCTTTTTAAACTGGGCTCTTTAAAAATAATGTCCACATCTGAGAACATTTTGAGGGGCAGTGCAGGATTTGAATGCACCACCATCATAGAATAAGAGCACATATGCGAGGGAAACTACCTGAAATATAAATTCAGAAACCAAGTGTCTGTAAACATGTCCATTTGCCTGTTACTCAGATATCCTCTGGCTATGACCCCTTTTGCCCTTCTGTTTGTGGGCCAACTGAGTAGCCCCCCAACCCAATGAGAAACTTTTAAGTTTTCTTTCCTATAGAGATGTTAAGTATAGAAATGTTAAGTCTCCTCCTGAGTCTGTTAGTTTCTTAGCTCTTGGCTTTGATTACTCTTCTAACCAGTTTGTGCATCCTAGACTAACGATTGCTCCTAGCCTGAATCATAGAATTCTCCTATCCAGCTGCTTCTTGATGGCTCTGTAAATCAGTTTCTGAATCCTAAACAATAGATTGTTCATAGATTGTTCCTACCCCTGCTTCAGATAACTACTTGAAAGCCTGTGACTTCCTAATATCCCCCCAGGCCAGTAAGCCTAATGATTCTTTCCAAACTCATTCTGGGCCTAAACAATTGAGGCCACCTGAGTGAAGCACTGAATGGCCACAGGCTTCGTGAGAGCTAACAGATTTATTAATTAAAATCTATTTCTCCTCATTCAGGGACCTTGGGGATACAGATGATACCCAAGCAAGATTGCGGGTTGCAACCAAAGAAGCCAACACAGTCTTCCAGGCGGAGCTCGAGACCCCTTCCCCTCATCTGAGATCAGCTAGGGTGAGAATTCCGTGAATCACTCAATAGGCAGAGACAGCTGTACGCCCCTGCCCAGCAGGAAGTAGATACAGAAGAAGAGACCTCCTGTCCCTCAACTTCCCATAGAGACTTTATGGGGATCACGTCTCTCATGGGGAAAACAAGGCAGGCAGTTAGAGGCAAGCATTGGGTCTCTGCATTCCTGCACGCCCCACAGGATGTGACCGCCCAGGGAACATCCCCTTTCCACCCAAACTCTCCCTTTGTATTGTAATTATCTACCCCTGCGGGAAAACAAATGGGCACAAAATACCCAACTAGATCAGACCAGTCACTCGCACCTGCTCCCGTACCTTGTGTCAATCACAGGTCCCAATCAAGTGGTCCCACGCCCAAAGGGGAACAGCCCATTCTAGAGCAGCAGTTCTCAACCTTTCACAGGGGTCGCCTAAGACCATGGAAAACACATTTTCCATGATCTTAGGAACCAAGACACCGCTCCTCTATCCGTCTCCAGGCCCACATACAGATACGCCCACATACGAGTACCCGGCGACCCCTGTGAAAGGGTCGTTCGACCCCCAAAGGGGTCGCGACCCACAGGTTGAGAACCGCTGCTCTAGAGAAAAGGTATAAAAACTCCAAGTCCAGAAAAGCCTGAGGCTTTTTTTGGACTTTTCTTCCTTTTCTTCTGACCCCTTCCTCCCTTTCGAGCCTCGCCTTTGCAGGTGGCCCACTCCAAACTCTTTGGAATGTAGTTTCTAATAATGGGCCCTTGAGCCATTTTCTACTGCTCGCCCGGCTTCTATTTCTTTGAAATGTACTATCTCTTCTAATAAACTGCTTTTTCACTACTTTGCCTCGGTATCTCGTTCAATTCTTTGCTCAAGTTGCCAAGGACCTGGACTTTGCGCCAAGAAGGGCCCACTCTCCGACAACACTCCCCTTCAACCTAAATTCAGCTCCGCTGAATCTAATTTGTTTATAAACATATTGATTGATGTTCAGAAACATATTAGGATAAATTTGACCTTGCTATAGGCGTGATGAGGCAATTCACTTCAACAGTAGAGTGAAAAGAACATTAGCTATCGAAACAGTTTTAATCCCGGCTTTGTCATTAACTGTCTTTTTAATCATGCAGCTGGTAAAACTACCCAGGGACAGCAGACAGGGTGGACAAGGAGCTCTAAGGGAAATTTGTTTTGCTGAAGTTCCTCTTTGACCTAAAATTTGATGTATAGTCTGAATTCGACTCACTATACATGCATGTGCATGCACACACGATTTAAATTACTTCAATGTCTCCCCTCCTGAAAAGGTGCATAAAAATGGATGCTGCAGAAAGACATGATCTGCTTATGCAATGCTTTCACGTAATTCCTATTTGACAGATGTGGGTGTAGGCCATTGCTGAGGGTTCTCAAAGCTCAAACGTTGCTCAATAATCTGCTCAGTACACATTTATTTAGCTCCTTAGAGTATACCAGGTGACATACAGAGCATGGTGGGTTAGAAGGATGAAGCTGACACCGTTTCTGCCCTTTAGAACCTCAATCTATTGGGTTAAGAGTCTAATTCAAGTCAGTATTTGTTGACAGCCTACTGAGTGTTAGGTACTATGCTAGGTATTGTGGGTACAATAGTGAACAAGACAGATATACTTTGCTCTTATGGAACTTTCCAGCTATTGGGAAGGATATTAAGCAAAAATGTATTGAGTAATTACAAGGTACAAAAGGAGGGTGAAGAGCATGCTAGACAAACAAAATAACGATAGCATGTGCAGAGACCCTATGGTTAAGAAATTGGTGGTGGGGAGGTAAACGCCTGTGGGCAAGAGAAGAAGCAGAACAGATAAGCAGCTTCCAGGTCATGAAGGTCCCTGCTTGTAGGTCTCATTACTGTGGTTTTTAAAAAGGGGGAAGACGTTGTAACATAAAGACTTCTATTTGGAGTATGTAAACAGACTTAAAAATGGATTGACATCGTTTTGAACGTAAGGTTGGGTTTCACTATCCTCAGGCCAGGCAAAGCTACATTTAAAATCAAATTAGAAGGGCCGGCTGAGTGGCTCAGTTGGTTAAGAGCTCGCTCAAGAGTTTGAGCTCTGAGCAACAGCGGTTCGAGTCCAGCCCGAGCTGAGCAGCCATGAGCTGCCAACAGGTGGCGGGATGGCTCAGCTAAAAAAAAAATCAAATTAGAGGTCCATGTAAAACATGCGTAAGCTTTACTGCAAAAAGTGAAAAACTGTCCCTGATATGGGTTACATTGAACTTTATTTGTGGTTATCACAGCCCCGTCTCAATTCTTATTGTTTGTTTTTCAGCATTACAAACAAATGAACACCCTTCCTTCGAGCACCTGGGTCATGGAAGTTAACACTTGAAGGAGCCACTCCCCTCCCAGAAGGACACTTTGTCCACTGATTATGAACCAGGCACCTCAGGGGTACAGTTCTAGGGCTGATCTGATTGCACCTGCATTCCTTTATATTTACCCTCCTGGGACACACAAATAAGCTGGTGGATGGAGAGACATCTTTTCTCCGATGCTGAAGAAAGAAGGAGGCTACCACCCTCAGCCGGGATATCAAAAGTCTGTGTTATACCCACTGACCTTTTGGTCTCTCCCTCTGGCCTCTAAGGAGTGCTGTAGCACCCGGTCAACATTAAAACACTGGCTCTGGGAGAACGGAAAGATAAAAGGCTGCTAGGTTTTAGCTTTCTTCAAACTGACCTTAGACCCATTCATTTCCTCAGAGGTTTCCGATGATCCTTATAGTCTCCCTCTGGCTTTCTGTGTCTCCCTTCTGCTGCGCACTCTCATCTAAACAATCTGGGGCATAAATGGAGAAATTAAATATGGATTAGACAAATATGAGAAGTAACCGCCTTCAGGGTCTTGGAAAAATATTTATGAATTAAAGATTGCCTAAGAATAAACAAATATTTATTAAGCATGTACTATATGGCCAGCACCAAACTAAATGTCCTGCATGTACTATATGGCCAGCACCAAACTAAAAAGTACCAGACATTCTGTTACACTGTCATATATGTCTTCCTGAAAAATCTCTTGTTCTGCAAAATGGCACACTAAAAATAACAGGACTTCTGGGGGAAATATGGTTAGGGAAGATCACTTAAATCCAATGCAACTTTGTAATCAGAGCACTAATGAAAACAATTAACTATCCTAATAAAAACACTCATGAGATTAAATCTCCACTGGCTCTTGTACCCGGCGTCACAGGCATCAATGCTTGGTAGTCTTCATGCTTCCTCTTTCCTGAGGTGGGTCCT